AAAAAAAAAAAAAAAAAGTAGTTCACACTTTCATCAGCAGCTATAATCATGGGAGAATTCTAATAGCTAGCTGCGAGCAAGACCTGAGGAGAAACAGAAATTGAAAGGGAAAGTCAAAAAACACCAGAGACAAATTTCTGGCTATTTCAATTGGATAAACACATTTCAGGGATTTATTCGTTTACCCTTCTGCCTCCCCCGAGAGTGTGCTTTCATAAAGATCAGGGTCAATGTCTCATCCATTTTTATAGTTTAGCGCATGTACCACATCTGGCACATCATGGATACTTAATACAGACTTGGGTTTTTTTTGTTTTTTTCTTTCCAGCTTTTAGGTTCAAGAGGTACATGTGCAGGTTTGTTACCTGGGTAAATTATGCATCACAGGGGTTTGGTGTACAGATAATATTGTCATCCAGCTTAATATCCGATAGGTAGTTTTGTTTGTTTGTTTGTTTGTTTCTTTTTTTTGTTGAGATGGAGTTTTGCTCTTGTTGCCCAGGCTGGGGTGCAATGGCATGATCTTGGCTCATAGTAACCTCCACTTCCCGGGTTCAAGCTATTCTCCTGCCTCAGCCTCCCAAGTAGCTGGGATTACAGACGTGCACTACCATGCCCGGTTAATTTTGTATTTTTAGTAGAGACGTGGTTTCTCCATGTTGGTCAGGCTGGTCTCAAACTCCTGACCTCAGGTGATCCGCCTGCCTTGGTCTCCCAAAGTGCTGGGATTACAGGTGTGAGCCACCATGCCCGGCCACCTGATAGGTAGTTTTTCAATCATCATCCTCCCCTCACCCTCCATCCTCAAGTAGGCCCCAGTGTCTATTGTTCCCTTCTTCGTGTCCATGTGTATTCAGTGTTTAGCTCCCGCTTATAAGTGGGAACATGAAGTACTTGGTTTTCTTTTTCTTTTTGAGATGGAGTCTCGCTCTGTTGCCAGGCTGGAGTGCAGTGGCACGATCTCAGTTCATTGCAACCTCTACCTCCCCGGTTCAAGCGATTCACCTGCCTCAGCCTCCCAAGTAGGTGGGACTACAGGCGCCCGCCAACATGCCCAGCTAATTTTTTATATTTTCAATAGAGACAGGGTTTCACCATGTTGGCCAGGATGATCTCAATCTCTTGACCTCGTGATCCACCTGCCTCAGCCTCCCAAAGTGCTGGGATTACAGGCATGAGCCAATGTGCCCGGCCTTTACAAGCACCCACCACTACGCTCGGCTAATTTTGTATTTTTAGTAGAGACAGGTTCTCACCATGTTGGTCAGGCTGATCTCAAACTCCTGACCTCAGGTGATCCACCTGTCTCGGCCTCTGAAAGTGTTGGGATTACAGGCTGAGCCACTGCGCCTGGCAGTACTTAGTTTTCTGTTCCTGTGTTAATTCTCTTAAGATAAGGCCTCCGGCTCCATCCATGTTTCTGCAAAGGCCATTATCTCCTTTTTTATGACTGTGTAGTATTCCATGTGCATATGTACCGTATTTTCTTTATCCAGTCCACCATTGATGTGCTTCTAGGTTGATTCCAAGTCTGCTATTGTGAATACTCCTAAAATGAACATACAGTTGCATGTGTCTTTATGGTAGAATGATTTACATTCATTTGAGTATATATCTGTGATAGAATTGCTGGGTCAAATGGTAGCTCTATTTTAAGTTCTTTGAGAAATCTCCACACTGCTTTCCACAGTGGCTGAACTAATTTACATTCCCACCAGCAGCATATACATGTTCTCTTTCCTCCACAACCTCTCCAGCATCTGTTATTTTTTTCCAACTTTTACGTAACAGCCAATCTGACTGGAGTGAGATGATATGTCATTGTAGTTTGGATTGCATTTCCCTAACACTTAGTGATATTGAGCATTTTCTCACATGCTTCTTGGCCACACATGTGTCTTCTTTTGAGAAGTGAATACAGCCTTGTTGAATGAGTAAATGTGTGAATGAATGCCAGCCAGCCAAAATCCACATTTTACTAGCTCTAACTGTAAATCCCTTCCCAACATATTTTATTTTATTTTCTTTATCGAATGTGGAAAATTAATGCAACACATCTTCATGTGTCAACTATCTCTGAGTTCTTGGAGATGTTACTTATATCCTGGCAAAGGCATTTCTGATATCAGATTCTCTTGTTTCCTTCTTCTTTCCATTACTTGGAACATATTTCCCACTCAGAAACTCACTTGGTTTTTGCCAATAACTTAAAATGAAGAATGTCTATTAAGCCATTGAGGAATTTCAAATTTCTTAAGATCACTTTTTTACTATTTATTTTCCTTCCCCATTTCCACATTTATATTTCTCTAGATGTCATCTTGCGATTTTTTTCATACATATGCAACTTGAGGTTTTCCATGCTAAGACTTTTGTTTGACAATGCCCTTTGCAAAAGAACATTCTGCTGATATGTTCAGGTGGAAGTGAGACTTGTGGGGTAAAATATGACCTGACAATGAGGCAAAATATATTAAACTACTACTAGCCAACATAGGTCAGCAGGAACATTAGCGGTGTTTCACGATTTGGGAGGGAATGGTTCTGGTTTCTGATATCTCTCATTTTAAAAAAGAGAAAATGAGGGGTGTAGTGGCTCATGCGTGTAATCCCAAAACTTTGGAAGGCCTCGGCGGGAGGATTGCTTCAGCCCAGGAGTTTGAGATCAGCCTGGGCAACATAACAAGACTTCTTTTCTACAACAGCGACAACAACAAACAAAAATCAGCTGGGCATGGTGGCGTGTGCCTGCAGTCCCAGCTACTTGAGGGGCTGAGGTGGGAGGATCGCTTGAGCCCAGGAGGTCTACAGTGCAGTGCGCTGTGATTGCCCCACTGCACTCCAGCCTTGGCGACAGAGTGAGACTCCGTCTCAATAAAGAAATAAATAAATATACACACACGCACGCACGCGTGCACACACACACACACAGTAGCCCTTGTGATCATAACTTTATTTTTTTGTCCTCTATTTTTTATTAAAAACCTCTGTAGGTGTGTACATTGGAAATTTATGAACTCTGTAAAAATCAGACAATTGGCCCTGGATACACTACTCTCATCAAATGCTTGATTATTGTCTAACTTCTTGGGTAATTTCTACTCATGTCCCACTCTTTCCTTTCCTTGGCAGCATCTAGGGTCATGCTCACAACCTCTTCACGTCTCATTGTTTATTTTCTTTCTTTCTTTCTATTCTTTTTTTTTTTCCATGGAGTCTTGCCCTGTCTCCCAATCTGAAGTGCAGTGACGTGATCTTGGCTCACTGCAACCTCCGCCTCCCGGGTTCAAGCGATTCTCCTGCCTCAGCATCCCAAGTAGCTGGGATTACAGGCGTCTGCCACCAGGCCTGGCTAATTTTTTTTTTTTTTTTTTTTTTTTTTTTTTTTTTTTTTTTTAGTAGACACAGGGTTTCACCATGTTGGTCAGGCTGGTTTTGAACTCCTGACCTCTGGTGATCCAGCCGCCTCGGCCTCCCAAAGTGTTGGGATTACAGGCGTGAGCCACCACGCCTAGCCTATTTTCTTATTATTTAAATAATTCTCAGAAGACTTTCTCCAAGAATAATTTCTTCCTACTTACTCTTTCAGTAGTTCATATATCTGACCATTTTTATGGTATGTTTTTTGGGTTTTTTTGTTTTTTTGTTTTGTTTTGTTTTGAAACAGAGTCTCACTCCGTTGCCCAGGCTGGAGTGCAATGGTGTGATCTTGGCTCACTGCAACCTCTGCTTCCTG